TACCTACTAGATGTCAGTAGAGAGTACTACGTTTAAGTTCCTAGTAAGTGCAAAAGATGGTAGACAGGTTGAGGAAATCTTTGGAAATGTTCCATACAACAAGATATAAACAAAGAAGTGATATATTTGTTTTTAAGTTAGTTTACATAGGTTATTGATTTGGAAACAATTACAAAGTTTTAACAATGAAGTATTCAATATATCGTGAAAAGTCTAGATTATACAACTGGACTACTTGTAAATATAATGTATCTAAAATTACTACCGATATAACAAGTACCGAGGCGGTCTCCTGTGTTGTGACCATATTCTATCCTTCTTGTCAGTGTTGTGTCCATATTCTATCCTTCTTGTCAGTGTTGTGTCCATATTCTATCCTTCTTGTCAGTGTTGTGTCCATATTCTATCCTTCTTGTCAGTGTTGTGTCCATATTCTATCCTTCTTGTCAGTGTTGTGTCCATATTCTATCCTTCTTGTCAGTGTTGTGTCCATATTCTATCCTTCTTGTCAGTGTTGTGTCCATATTCTATCCTTCTTGTCCATAATCATCTCTACAGTTTTATTTAAGTTTTTAGTCTGTCTCTTCGTCTGTTTATCACCCACCACTGTGAAACATCATCAAACCTGGATCATTTACTCATGTTGTCATCTACATCTCTTGTTTGGTGTCGCCCCATTCATGTTTACCTTCACGCTACCATGTTATCAATTCTATCTTTTAATATTTTGGGTTTGTAGTGAGGATAACTGTCTTGTTTATAGTGAGCACCATTGGGTATGTAAAAATAGTTAACTTCAACATGCACTAAAACCAATGAACTTAATACAGTAACAGATTGAAACAGTATTTTCTATTTAGAAATGTGTACAGTCAACCAAAGTGGTATTAGTATGTCAACATCACTGACAAACCATCAACATAAACTGTAACACTGTACTAGTTTTGTTAAGTTCACACACAATTTCACTGTTCTTCAGTTCCTGATCACTGTTCAAAGTGAACTTTCTTCAGTTCATTTTTATATAATACAATAATGGGTGTTCTCCAGTCTGTAGGTATTACACGTATTTTGTTTATTATCTTTGAATGTCCGCATGTCACACGCCATGGTGGCTGCATTCAGTAGGGTACATAAAGAGTCTACCAAGTGTTCCTGGACGTGATAGGAGGAAGTAAGAGGACTATCAAGTGTTCTTGGACGTGATAGGAGGAAGTAGGAGGGCTACCAAGTGTTCTTGGATGTGATAGGAGGGAGTAGGAGGGCTACCAAGTGTTCTTGGACATAGCAGGAGGAAGGATATGTTACCCTTTGCTCTAAGACAATAATGTAAAGTAAAGCCAATACCCTTTTGGCCGACTGCATTCACCTTAAGACGTACCTACATGATAGTATGATTTCTACAGTTACCATAATACTGTATACAAGTTTTACAGAGAAGGAGCATATTGTAAATACTAATCTCTACACACAATCACGTTCAAAATGCTACCAATTCCTAATCATTTCCTTTGGTGTTGTAAAATATATACAAGACTTCAGAGCTCTCACACAAACTGGGATATTGAAGTCAGTCATAGGTATTGCTTTGATAAACATAATAAAAATAAATCCCGATGATATACGTACTTAGTAAATTGTAACTAAATCCCATTTCCTTCAGGTTTGCTAGCAAGGACTATTATGGGTGACTTCCCAGATATAAAATACACCTCACCCCATATAAAATGCGAGGAGACACTTTACAACTCACACACACCCTCGAGTACTGAGCAACACACAACACCTTGGGAGGTAGGCAGTTTCTTTTAATGTCAGGTCACTGGATTGGTTAGGTTTGGCTTTAAGTCAAATACAGTTATTCTATATTAGGTTTTGGTTAAGTTTGGGGAAAGTTATGAGTCTGACCTGGGAAGTGTTAGGTCTGATCAAAAGCCATCTCCCCCAGCAGGAGGATCAAGGTACTAGATCAGACCATCTCCCCCATTAGGAGGATCAAGGTACTAGATCAGACTATCATTGATAAGAGGGGCTCCCTACACAAGCTTCACTCTAAATATCTGAACAAACACAAACAAATCTCATAAAAATTTCCAACACTCCTTCCCCACTTAAGTATAAACAGTTGCAATATAATTCATCTACAAGTTGTAAGTATATAAATCACAGATTATTTTAGTAAAAGCAATGGATATCAACAACAAAATAATGCAGATGAAAAACACCAGTGGGGCTCCCATGAACTACAGGTTGTACCTCTCTAGTCCGGCACTCTGTGGTCCGGAAACTCCCGTGGTCCGGAACGATTTTAGTTTGTCCAATAGGTAGATAGGCAGCTATATTTATTTATTTATTTTTTAACTTATCTGAATTATTATTATTATTATTATTACAGGAGTATTAAATTTTCACCCCTCAGGCCTCAATGTGGGTCAGTGACCTATGCCCGGATGGGCTAATCCCCCCCTCCTCCCCCCAAAAAAATTAGGAGCTCGGGATCGACGGTTAATCTGAAAGACGGTTAATTGAGGGTCGTGTAATCGAGGTTTTACTGTACTGTTAGTCTGATATAGTAAATACCGTAAATATGCATAAGCAGTTATAGTTTCTTCAGAGAGAATTGTAACCTGTATCTACGATTAACTGTGCCTCAGTCTATGTTGGTGTTCCTTCTCACTACATCACTTAGAGGCATATACTGTATGTCTTGTCAGATGTAGTTCGATTGATTACAGGTGCTCCTCTACTTAAGAACATTCAACTTACAAACTTTCAGAGATACAAACATCACTGAGGAGGTTACCTGCCAGAACAGGTGTTTAATGTGGATGAGACTGGATAATTTGGAAGAAAATTCCAGATAGAACAAACATTACCTAAGAGGAGAAGAGTGAGCCAGGTTTTAAGGCTGTATTAAAGGGTATAGCTGTACTAAATATCCATAATCTTTTAATTTTTTACAATATGTTTGGTATCTACAGGAGTAAAGTTGGACTTACAAACAAGCCTCGGGAACATAACTCTTTTGCAAGTACTGTAGAGGAGCACCTGTAGTGCATTTTTTCTCAGCTGAGTTAACAGTTGATTGGCTGTTGCAAACCTGTCCTATTTTGTTCTGAAGTAATGATGTATTTCTAAATGAATTATTCAAATTCGTTGGGATGACCGTTTCGGATGAGAAAGCTATTTAGCTAAATTATATAAAGATACATACATTCATTATTTCAAACATGATCACGTAGGAAGTTTATCAGATGTATTATTCATGAATTAACTGTTAAACTCTGGTGGCAAATTGACGCTTTCGTAGGACGCATTTAATATACAGTGACCCCTCCGTTAACGAACTCAATCCGTTCCAGAAGGTCGTTCGTTAACCGAAAAGTTCGTTAACCGAAACCATTGTTTCAATGGGTTTTCGGGTAATTGGTTCCAGCTCACCGAAAATTTCCTAAATTCAACAAAAATGGTAGAAAAGTTCACTTACTTTGAGGTGTGTATGTAGAAGGCTCCTGATGATGATGATGATGATGATGATGATGATGATGATGATGATGATGATGATGGGATTTAGAATGGGGGTGGAGGAGAAGGAAGAAGAGAAGACATTGGGGTGGAAGAGAAGTCACCCCATGGTGCCATTTCACCCATAAAATTTTAGCTCTCTGGTGTAATTCAAGATTATTTTCTTTAAATCAACACTGCACTGCATTATATATTGTCAATATGTAAAATATATTTAAAAATGACCAATAATTTGCTTGGAAACAGAAAAAAAGCGTTTAGTTGAAGAGAGTCTCAAGCAAGATGTTACCTCCAGTGAAAACAGAGAGAGACTAACTCCTGTTTGCTGTGTTAAGAGGCTGGATGCCGCGCATTAAACTAGTCACTTTACCTTCAATTATGTTCAATAATTGTTAAAATGACTAAAAAATTGAATATTAAACTTTTAAAATTATTGAATAGTATAAACTTCTTGATATTTACTAAAATAGTAAGGAATTTAAGCCCTAGAACTGATTAATGTATTGGCGGACTGATACTAAAGCTGGTTGCCCGGTAAGTGCAAGCGAAAACATGTTGAGGTCGGTTCATAAGAACTTCGTTAACAGAATTTTTTTTCGTTAACCGAATTTTTTTTCGTTAACCGAATTGAAGATCCTTATGGAAGGCAGTTCGTTAATCGAAATTACGTTAACCGAGGTGTTCGTTAAACGAGGGGTCACTGTATACTTATTTTTACCCACAATAGGACACAAATTATGTATCTCTTCTCAGCAGGGAAAAAACACACTATAGGTCCCTCTTCTGCCAACTAACACAACAAAACAAGGGAGAAACACATAGAACAAAGGAAACAGTCTCCAGAGTTAGGTTGGTTGTTCTTATTCTGTGTGTGTGTGTGTGTGTGCACAGTATTGTGGTATGGAAGTATATATTCGACCTGGGAGAGGGGTTACATACACAATATCACCACTTAAAATGTTTTCCAAGACAGAACCATACAACACACAAATGTATGTAGAAGACCTGGCACTGCTAAATAAACTTTGACTTGACGGAAAATATAGTAAAAAAAAAAAAAAAAAAAGGTAAGAACTAACAGAATAATGTGAATAACAGTACAAGCTGGGAGACTTTTGAAGTATATAAATAATAATACCAAATAACAATACTGTACACATTTGATCACCTTCACAGAACTTGGGTAATAGGAATAGTGACATGAACTTGTCGGTACTGTATAATAAACTTGGTCCTGATGGAAAGAAAAAAAAAAGATCTGGTACAATGTCCTTTATAATCCTGCTAGCTGTGTTGGTATAGCCTTCAGTACCGGGGGCTGAGGTTGTCCAGTAGCAGAATATTAATAGTAGTAGTGTTATCGCCACGTGTCGGTCACATGTTAAGTTAAGAACCTGTTTACAACTCAGAATAGCTTACTAAGCCAGATGGAGCTGGTAGCAGCTGTGTGACTGCCTGAGGGGCAGACTATCGCCTTCTACTGTAGAGGCAACATCTTGATTCTCGTCAACCAACATCTTCCTGCAGGACAACATATTTGTTCTCGTTGGTCTAACCCTAGACCCAAACACGTAAGTGTGATTGCGAGCTGTAGAATCCTCTGAGAACTCTAAACAATTTTACTAAGTGTAATTACGTACTGCATATTGATCATATTATTCAATCTGTGTGTCCTGATGTACCAGCAGTTGTTATATGTGAATTGTATTCAACAAGTTTTGATCGAATTATACTCATCGCATTCACGACAAGGGTCTTACTGTTCTGCACCAACCAAAATCGCTCCTATGAGCGATTACAAGTAATGAGAAATGAAGTCAAGGGAGACGTTGTACAGTAGACACATCTTCATGATATAGGCGAGACGAGACACATCTTCAAGATAGTGAGACGTCACATCCTCATGGGAGCAAACCAAATGAGCGACAGCCGTAACCTTTTAGAAACAGAGATGCCTCGGCCTTTATGAAGTAAAAAGTCTGAACCATTATTGTGAAGGTCATTTTGGCCACTGTGAAAGAAGGCAACTTGTTTGAGGAGGAAATTCAACTTTGATGCCGGACAGAACTTCCTTCAGTCTTACCAGAAAAACAAGTTTTCTCCCAGTCCATTATTGAAATGGTCCTAACCTAATAAAAAAAACCCTAACCTAATGGTTAGGTGAGGTTAACCTAACCTAACCTCACCCACTGCTCTGTCTCTCTCTCTCATACGGTGTCTCCCGTTATTCAGTGTCATGTAGTCACCAGTACAGAATGTTGGTAAAGCCTTTCTAATTGACACAGTCTTTCTGATTTATGTCATCTAACACAATGCTTGTATCATTTCCACAGTATTTATGACATCACTTTTGTGGATATGTGTATACAGTATGTGTATTCTGAAGATGTGGCCGTGTTTCTGAACGCAGAAAGAAGCCTCAGCCATTCACAGTCGCCTACGAATATGAAGATGACTAAGTAACTGGGTGGGTATCAATCATCTTCTTTTTCTCTCCAAGTGTTTTTATGGTTCTTCAAACTCAATGTGAGGTACCAGCCATCCTCAATGCCTCTATGAGGATGGAGAACACTCATAAGGCCAAAGTGAGACATCAGCAGAAGGTTCGTTGGAGTCAGAGTGATGACTTGTGTTTTCAGTACCTCTGTGAAGATGACGGACTCTCCTCAAAGCCTCTACCATCACGTACCACGAGGGGCTCCGGCGATATTGATGATTTGGGAGGCTTTCTCTTATGTGACCTGCAGAAGATGAAGGTGCAACACTCGTCCTTCTTCTGGTGGATGAGTTTCTCATAACCAACACACACCATCACCACCACCATGATGATCGTCGATATTCCCAGCACCAAGAAGATCCCCGTCAGGTTGTACAGCTTGTCCTCTGTAAAATTGGAACAGTTAGTCGTGTTGTTGGAGGAAATGTGACAATATACTTTAAAATATGGTTTTAACTAAATTAACTTAATTAGTTTGGGTTTGCCGGTGTCAGAAAGGCCACTTGGTGATATATGAATGGTAAATTTTGTGTTCTAAGTTGTGCTATGGAAGTTAATCTTGAGATAACTGGAATAGTATTGATTTGTTAACTCTTTTAAGACACTGTACAAGAAAGTTAATCTTATGTTTCCTGCACTAGTTAATTGGGTATCCGAGTTAACATGGTGTTATCTGAAGAAGTTAACTACAATACGTGTTGTATGAAGATTTAAAATTAATAGAAGGATGTTTTTATTACCTAGGGTGTTGGTAGACTGTGTTTACAATAACTGAGGTGTTGGTAGACTGTGTTTACAATAACTGAGGTGTTGGTAGACTGTGTTTACAATAACTGAGGTGTTGATAGACTGTGTTTACAATAACTGAGGTGTTGATAGACTGTGTTTACAATAACTGAGGTGTTGATAGACTGTTTTTACATTAACTGAGGTGTTGGTAGACTGTGTTTACAATAACTGAGGTGTTGATAGACTGTGTTTACAATAACTGAGGTGTTGATAGACTGTGTTTACAATAACTGAGGTGTTGATAGACTGTTTTTACATTAACTGAGGTGTTGATAGACTGTTTTTACAATAACTGAGGTGTTGATAGACTGTTTTTACATTAACTGAGGTGTTGGTAGACTGTGTTTACATTAACTGAGGTGTTGGTAGACTGTGTTTACATTAACTGAGGTGTTGATAGACTGTGTTTACATTAACTGAGGTGTTGGTAGACTGTGTTTACATTAACTGAGGTGTTGGTAGACTGTGTTTACATTAACTGAGGTGTTGGTAGACTGTGTTTACATTAACTGAGGTGTTGGTAGACTGTGTTTACATTAACTGAGGTGTTGATAGACTGTGTTTACATTAACTGAGGTGTTGGTAGACTGTGTTTACATTAACTGAGGTGTTGGTAGACTGTGTTTACAATAACTGAGGTGTTGATAGACTGTGTTTACATTAACCAAGGTGCTGGTAGACTGTGTTTGCAATAACTGAGGTGTTGGTAGACTGTGTTTACATTAACCAAGGTGCTGGTAGACTGTGTTTGCAATAACTGAGGTGTTGGTAGACTGTGTTTAAAAGTTATAAGAAAACATAAGTATAGAAAATCGTTGCCAGCAGACTATTAGCTGCGAGACACGACTGTTGGTGCTTACAGTACAGTAATTATCTTATCACTGATCATTACACAATTATTCTATTATCGAAAATCCTTTACTAACACGTGACTGTTCATTGGACGCTGATATTGGTGTTCGTGGTTAAGAGTGAATTACGAGTCGTTAGATATTGACGCTTGTAAGGTGATTTAAGTGGGAAGTTTTAGGTGATTATATAAGGACAGTGAAACCTCTATTTAAAGGACCATATGGAGAGTAAAGTCCATTATGTCGAGGGTGTGTTAGATATGAAGCCCTCCATCTAATGAGCTATGTAGAAATGCAAGTCCATTATAACGCGGGCCCATTAGATATGAAACTCTCTATCTAACAGTTTATGTGGAGAGTGAAGTCAATCTTATCCAGGTATCACTGACTAGGAACATTATAAAAAAGCAAATTTAAAGACATATTAACCAGAAAACAAAAACTGGTGTAGAGTGTTACTCCACCTTCAGGTATGAACGCTACTCACCTCCATCATCTTCGCCGGTGAGGAAGGTGAACCTGATAATGATGGGTCTAACGTTACCACCTTGGAAACCTGACACCTTCACGGAATATCGGCGCCTCCTGTATAGTCCCCCAAGCTTGAAGACAAACCTGCGGGAGGAACATCTTTTTAGTATGGTACTGCAGGTGGAACACCTTTTTAGTATGGTATTGCAGGAGGAACACCTTTTTAGTATGGTACTGCAGGAGGAACACCTTTTTAGTATGGTACTGCAGGAGGAACACCTTTTTAGTATGGTACTGCAGGAGGAACACCTTTTTAGTATGGTACTGCAGGAGGAACACCTTTTTAGTATGGTACTGCAGGAGGAACACCTTTTTAGTATGGTATTGCAGGAGGAACACCTTTTTAGTATGGTACTGCAGGAGGAACACCTTTTTAGTATGGTACTGTAGGGGGAACACCTTTTTAGTATGGTATTGCAGGAGGAACACCTTTTTAGTATGGTACTGCAGGAGGAACACCTTTTTAGTATGGTATTGCAGGAGGAACACCTTTTTAGTATGGTACTGCAGGAGGAACACCTTTTAAGTATGGTACTGCAGGAGGAACACCTTTTTAGTATGGTATTGCAGGAGGAACACCTTTTTAGTATGGTACTGCAGGAGGAACACCTTTTTAGTATGGTACTGCAGGAGGAACACCTTTTAAGTATGGTACTGCGGGAGGAACATCTTTTTAGTATGGTACTGCAGGTGGAACACCTTTTTAGTATGGTACTGCAGGAGGAACACCTTTTTAGTATGGTACTGTAGGGGGAACACCTTTTTAGTATGGTACTGCAGGAGGAACACCTTTTTAGTATGGTACTGCAGGAGGAACACCTTTTTAGTATGGTACTGTAGGGGGAACACCTTTTTAGTATGGTACTGCAGGAGGAACACCTTTTTAGTATGGTACTGCAGGAGGAACACCTTTAGAGATACTGTGGAGGACACCTTTTTAGTATGGTACTGCAGGGGAACACCTTTTTAGTATGATACTGTGGAGGGACACCTTTTAGTGTATGTACTGCAGGAGGAACACCTTTTAGTATGGTACTGCAGGAGGAACACCTTTTTAGTATGGTACTGCAGAAACACCTTTTAGTATGGTACTGTAGGGAACACCTTTTAGTATGATACTGTGGGAGGACACACCTTTTAGTATGGTACTGCAGGGAACACCTTTTAGTATGATGCTTGGGAGGACACCTTAGTATGGTACCGGAGGAACATCTTTTAGTATGGTTGCAGGAGGAACACTTCTTAGTATATGTACTGCAGGGGAACCTTTTTAGTATGGTACTGGGGAACACCTTTTAATATGGTACTGCAGGAGGAACACCTTTTTAGTATGGTACTGTGGGAACACCTTTTAGTATTGGTACTGCAGGGAACACCTATAAATATGGTACTGGGAGGAACCTTTTAGTATGGTACTGCAGGAGGAACACCTTAGTATGGTACTGGGAACACCTTTTAGTATGATACTGTGGGAGGACACCTTTTAATATGTGTACTGTGAGAACATTTTTTAGTATGTTTGGAGGAACATACTATTAAATGTGGGAGGACACCTTTTAATATAGTATATGGAGAACATTTTTTAATATGGTACTGCGGGAGGAACATTTTTTAGTATGTTACTGCAGGAGGAACACCTTTTTAGTATGATACTGTGGGAGGGACACCTTTTTAATATAGTACTGGGAGAACATTTTTAGTATGGTACTGCAGGAGGAACACCTTTTTAGTATGGTACTGCAGGAGGAACACCTTTTTAGTATGGTACTGCAGGAGGAACACCTTTTAGTATGGTACTGCAGGTGGAACACCTTTTTAGTATGTTACTGCAGGAGGAACACCTTTTTAGTATGATACTGTACTGCAGGAACATTTTTTAGATGGTACTGCAGGGGGAACACCTTTTTAGTATGGTACTGCAGGAGGAACACCTTTTTAGTATGGTACTGCAGGAGGAACACCTTTTTAGTATGGTACTGCAGGGGGAACACCTTTTTAGTATGGTATTGCAGGGGGAACATCGTTTTAGTATGATACTGTGGGAGGGACACCTTTTTAATATGGTACTGCGGGAGGAACATCTTTTTAGTATGGTAAACACACATGGAACAGTCTGGGACAAACGTTCACTCCCCATAGTGAAACCAAGTCACGGGAATGAGTCTCTAAACTAACTTAGCCTGACTGTTTCATGTCATATAGGGTCAATGCCGTTTCATTCTGGACGGAAGTGAACTTTGGACCCAGAGTGTACAGTACACTGATGGCACAATGATAGGGTGCATATTCAAGAGGATATTTACCCTACTGTAATACTAAAGACTAACCACCTCTTACTAATAATTCAACCCTTTAAGTATGACGGCTTTAACCCCTCGAGTACTGATTTTTTAACCACCCAACTTCCTTAATTCACCGTACTAAAGGGGTTAGTTATTCATACTCTAGGTGTAAAAGTCATCATACTCAAGGGATTAAGGGAGACTACAATAAACTATATAATACCTGTATGTTCACTCACTTACAAAACATCTTCCTAACTTACTAATGGCCATCTTGACTGACTTACCCCAGGCGTCCAGAGGCTGAATCGAAGAGGGTTGTGGGATCGAAACCGTTGCCCGCTGGGTTGATGTTGAGTGTGATGACGTGACGACTTGTATCCACCGGGTCCTCATATGACATCACTATCTGTGGGGGAGCTCATCTTAATTCTGCGAGTGTGTCTGTGAGTCTGTGTTCTTTTTCTGTGAGTGCGTTTGTCTGTGTTCTTTTTCTGCGAGTATATTCTTTCTAAAATATCTATGTTAAGGTACAGTCCCAAAACTCGCCACAATTGACATCAATCTGATTTACGACCATTTAAACCTTAGCACACAGGGGACCTCGACAACTCAATATTCTCTGTATGTAACAAAAGGTTTTGGTGCTGCTGAAATCCAGAAGTTTATTCAGTATTTCAGTAAAGCCAGACCCCCTAGCAAGCCAAAATATCGAGGGTTTTAAAGTATCATGAATCTTGTTATGTTGTGTTCATATTTCAGGGTTACAATGAAGGGCTTAATTCAGGTGACCAAGGTTGAGGTGTAAGAGTGGATATAATGTTTGTCTTCTGTTTTAAAGGTCGATAGATTGCATCCTCCAAGAAGCCTACAGTCGACCCAGGTGAGAGTGGGTGCGTACTGGACCTACTGTGTGGTTTGGGTAGTGTAGGCGGTCAAGTGCAGTGCCGCTGGCTATACTGTTTCCGTGCACTGGTTTAGTTTTAATTGTATGATTCACAAATGTAGACACACTCATCCTTTCACCACAACTACACACACAAAGCAAAAGTAGAATGAAAAATGAATAACTAAATGAGTCTCGATCGAATGTCGTGAATAATGGACTTTAAGGAGTGACAGAATGAGACAGACTCGCCATATGTACTGTCATCTTGGCAGATGGGTCACAACTTGAGTGCATGTGAAGATGTCTTAAATGATCGTATAATTTGGGGGGAGAAAACGTTATCTTCATGGGAAATGATAACTGCATGACGACACTTACACACATATACAGTATGGTATAATAAATATTCACTTAACAAAAGAAAATGGCTATATATCTCGTGTTTACATAATAGAGACAATTTAACCCTCGTGCATAATATATACCTAATATAATTCTCTTATAAATAATATATGTACCGTACCTCCCACACACAGCCTGGGTGAAAAATGTGGACCATCAAGGCGGCAACACTAAAGGCACAAATGTCCCCTTTCCATCAATATATCGACACTGCTTCAAGCCTCAGGGTAAGAAGGGGTTATGCCACGACCTCCACCAAGGATCAAAGTCCCCATGGTAATGCAATAGGGTATTTCAGCCTTATAGGACATGGGGGTTTGAGAGTGTAGTGGATATGGGGGAGAGGGAAGGGTTTGGCGTCGTTCTGTAGCCACAATGAAAGGTTTGGTGGTCTTGGACAAGGGAGGTGGGAGTTGTGTGGTGTCATGCATGTCCTAGGTGTCATACATGTCTTAGGTGTCATGCATGTCCTAAATGCTTTGCCTCAAGGACACACATTATGCATGTCATGACCTGTCATCCATGTGTGTCCTCAGTACATGTCATGGGGATTCTTCAATACAGGTACTATATTACACCGTAATCTTGACACATCAGGCATTTCCTTGACATGCAACAGTAAGCAATCATCGCGTATCCTGACCCATTTTAACCTGTGTATCCTAAATGACTCCTGCATATCCTAATCAACCCTGTCCTTATTTATATTCCATCTGCATTTTAATAAATTTTTTGAAAGATAAAAACAATGATTTTGTAAGTGATGTGCACACTACTGTACCTTGAACTGGACGTCAACACTATTTACAACTTTGAACTTTCCTTTTTTGTCAAAAATTTCAATGCAAATAAAAAAAAATATATTTTTTTTTAAATTTAATCATACAAATATCCTAAAAAGGGGTTAAAGTCCCCATACTCAAGGGGTTAAAGTCCCCATACTCAAGGGGTTAAAGTCCCCATACTCAAGAGGTTAAAGTCCCCATACTCAAGAGGTTAATGTCCCCATACTCAAGGGGTTAAAGTTCCCATACTCAAGGGGTTAAAGTCCCCATACTCAAGAGGTTAAAGTCCCCATACTCAAGAGGTTAAAGTTCCCATACTCAAGAGGTTAAAGTCCCCATACTCAAGGGGTTAAAATCCCCAAACTCAAGAGGTTAAAGTCCCCATACTCAAGAGGTTAATGTCACCATACTCAAGAGGTTAAAGTCCCCATACTCAAGGGGTTAAAGTCCCCATACTCAAGGGGTTAAAGTCCCCATACTCAAGAGGTTAAAGTCCCCATACTCAAGGGGTTAAAGTCCCCATACTCAAGGGGTCAAAGTTCCCATACTCAAGGGGTTAATGTCACCATAAGCAAGAGGTTAAAGTCACCATACTCAAGAGGTTAAAGTCCCCATACTCAAGAGGTTAAAGTCACCATACTTAAGGGGTTAAAGTCCCCATACTCAAGGCGTTAAGGACCAACTTAAGATTACCCAAATGCCTTTTTTATTACTGGAAATAGCAGTAATATTAGTCAATTTAAACAATACACCACTAATGAGGAAGTCAATAGCCTAATGTAACCAAAATATAATAATTAATGGAACTAACGGTATTAATTTGGATGTAATATCTTTAATTACCCAGGGAAATATGTGGTCATTTTTTTTTAAGGTTGTGTAGGTGATAATTATGGGGTAGGTTGTGGTGATGGTTTAGGGGCGAGGGGGAAGACTACAGTGTATGGCTGGCTGATCTTCAATTGATTTTAGATGACCTTGATATTAATGTGACCCCGACTCTTCCTCTACCATGACCCCCCTCCCTCTATCATGACCCTTCATCTTCCTCTCTCCTTCCCTGACCTATTCTCCCTCTCCCTGTATGACCTGCTGCCTCCCTGACCTGGTAACCTAGCATGGAGGGATCAGCTATTGTCTATCATCAATAACATCCCCTTATTATAACAACATGTATTGTCTCAGTAACCATTTATCACACACTTTTCCCATAATGGTGTCAAGGAAAACAATTTATATAAAATGATCACAATTCTTTACGATAACACAACGATTAGGCACACTAGTTTATTTCACCTGATGATTAATCACCTTAATGCTAACTAACCCCACCAGGTAGCATTTGGCTGTTTGTGAGGTGGGTTAATAATCATAATGTGATCTGTTTGTTTTTTACTATGTAAGATCCATACCAGTATCTGTCCTTCACCTAGAGCAGTGGTTCTCAACCTTGTTTGCCTCATGCACCCCTTTCACCATATGTCAGAATGTCATTCCCCCTTCCTTTCCAAGATTGTCTGCCTCAAAAAGTGCATTCCAAATAATATGCATATGATACTGAAAATCCTTTATTTTTTCCATATTAGTATCAGTTTCCCCACCCCCCCTGAAAACTTGAGGGGGGAAATTCCCCCCTGGTTGAGAACCCCTGACCTAGAGTCTGACCAACAAACAATGACAATTGCCCCTCCTCGTGACGACACTGTCCAGGACCATAACTCTCCACACAGATGCCACAAAATAACAATTACATCCTCCATCTTGTTATGACACGTTCACACACCATGTTGGGTTCAAATCCAAACAAGTTAAAGACTTAAGTATAATTTTAAGGCTATTTTTGTATGCTATGGCGCCAAGTTGGATACATTCTTACACCTTCTGTTGTGAGGAATTATTACTGTGGATCAGGACTGAGGGGTCCTGAAAGATTTGGGAATCAAGTCAGGGAAGAGGTGCCAGGTAGCTTTAAACATGTTCTCCTTCAACCCCCCCTCCTTGCCGGCTCTCAATTAAAATAGCTTACTGCATGATAGCTGGCCTGCAGTGAGGGGATCCTACACCCTCACCTTCATCGATCAAATACTCTACATAACTACCATGGAACCTGTAATCTGACCCCATACACAGCAGTTTATTGAGCTTTATAACCCATTATCTAACGTTAATACCGATTACTTCAGAGGATATTAATCTCTGCTTATTACCAAAAGTACCTATATAAAGCAGCCCACAGCATTATCGTGTTAATAATGGTCAATATAAGGGCAAGAACAACCATATTATAGCCTCACACAGGCCAGGAATAATGGTCCCAAAAGTCTGTATCAATCAACCATGCCAGCAGCAGTATTGTATAGGATGCCAAGACGGACGTTAAGGTGGTAGCTACAATGATACCAGGATCGACTGGCTGCCACTACCAGATGCTCAACTGTTTACTGCGTCGCTCACTTGTTTCATGGAAGCCGGTGCACCTTTTTCTTATTTATTGTGTCGTGCGAGGAAAGGCACCATTATGCATTACTCACAGTATTAAAATGAGTTTATTTTGCCAATGCTTTTTGTTATTTAATCAGAAAGGATTAGTTATTTACATGTGTGGTCTTATCACCTTCCAATACACAAAATCTGCATCATGGAGGTTCTTCTTTCTTTACCCAACAAATTAATTTCCCACTAATTTTATTGAGTTCATTAACAACTCAAGGATTTAATTTTTTTAATTCATTAGTATTATTTCTTTTTAGTTGTTTCTCTTTTCTTTATACTCAATTTTCATATTAAATAGTTTTAGTCATATACTGTATATAAAGAGTTCAGTCACCACCGTGAAGCATTTTGTATGGTGCATTGCAGCGTCCCTTCTATTACAGGGGTAAAAAAAAATAATAAATAAATAAAAATAGGCCCATCAGACACAAGTATACAGTTACCTCAACATGGGACCAAAGACTCAATTGTTTTATAAAGTGAAGTTTATAATATCCAGAAAATAAGATATTTAGCAGAACTGTCAAATAAAAACTTACAGCAATTATAGAAGTTATATTTTCTTCTGTGTGTGTGTGTGTGTGTGTGTGTGTGTGTGTGTGTCAACTATAAGTGCACACATGACTTTCTGTACACACACACGTCTGTATAACATGTATTTATGTATGCAATGTGCATGTGTACGTCAAATCATGCACGCACAAAAAAATTTCATTACAGTAACGAAGACAGTTCCGTGACACGCACTACAAAAACTCAAATCACACCTTCTGTCTTACACAAGAAATAATCTTACAAAGAAAACAAAAACATTATCTTTTCAAAGCATAAAACTAGAAG